AATGTAGAAAACCGTGAGTTTTTCAGATGGAATTTCGTTACAAGTATCTATTTCCTCTTGCCAAAAAAATTCTTATTCTGTTATCTGCTTTGTAGTCTAGACTTAATTTTAGCGACACTTGTACACTGCTTGGAAGAGAAAATGCCACCCCATGAAGGAATGATTGAAAATAAATCAAACTTCCTAAATAGATAGGTAATAAAAAACTTAACAAGGGATTTAATAATAAAAGATGTACAATGATAACACATTTAGATATACAGGGCATCAATAAGATGTTGCGGACACATTTCTGACAATGCAGTATTTATTACGACGTTATAACGAACTAATGAATGTACAAATCATATCCCGTGATATCGTGCTCTATGACCTCACATCTTCGTTTTATGGAGAAGTATTCAACCGACGCCCAATGATGTTCCATAAACTCTCGATTGGCGAGAGATAAAGCAGTCGAGTTTGGCCAAGAGAGCACTTGCACACCCTGCAATACATGCAGAATAAGCCCAGAGCATTACCGTATTAAAAACTGGCGCCCGGGAGAGTTTGAAGATACGGAAGGTGAGGATGTCGAACATCATCAACATATCAGTGTCTCTTTATGTGCCTTTAGTGCGTCCTAGAGGTGAACGGCTTCCAGAATTAACGGCATCCCAAACCATTATCGACAGTGATGCTCTGTGTGTCACTAAAAATGGTGCAGACATCCGCTCGAGGCTACGTTGACTCTTTCCATTATATACCGATAAAATTTTATAGGACAGCAACAACAGTCATTGTTAAAGACTGCACTGTTCCAATCTGCACGCCATGCAATTATAATGGGACTCCACTGCAAATGTTAAAAATGATGGTTCAGTGTTAATGAATGGTTCCAAGAACGAATGACTTGTTAAAAGCGTTACCTTCTCTTCTTCATTCACCAGATTCAGAAAACCAAGACGAATCCGAAGCTGATGGGTTGATCCGTGTTGATGATCCGTGTTATTTGAATGTTTATACCCTATTTGGTAATTATCTGATTGGTTTGCAAACACATTTATTTGCAATATTTATGTGCCTGCATTCCCATAGAAATCTGCATGGCCATGTGTATGCTCCCTCACAATCCGATATTTTCTCTATATTCTACCTACATTTACGTATAAACTAATGTATAAACTAATTTCAAACACTCTCGTTCGTGAGTATTATGTTTTTTAGATAATTGTATCTCATTCTATCACTGTTGTTGCATCATCGTTGAGAAATGGGATTACTAATATTTGCCACGATTGTTGAAGAATTTTGGACTGAATATTGCCCTCTTCCGAATCAAATCCCAGGTCGAAATCCTTAATAAGGATAACAGAAATTTTGAAATATAGGTCAGACATCACAGAGGCGTTGAAGGTATTGTGACCCTGTAAAAGATTCAGCTATAGCAAAAACCAGGGAAAAGTGCTCAGTGACGATAGCAGTGATATTTTGCTAAGTCAAAAATCTTTGTTACAATGTACTTTGTATGGTTTGCTTGTAGTGGTGCAAAGGGCTTTCATTGGTTTTACATAAAAACTTAAATGTACAACAATGATTGAAAAATATTTAGGTCCCAATAAATGAACGAAAAATACATTTTCATTACTTTTATTTCTAATTTTCTTCAAGGCATTTTTTGAGTTCAGCGGTAACTCTGTGTCCAGTTTATATACTCATAGGTGGTAGTATGTATAAAGCATTAGCACCTTTGTTTCATGCTGTTTAATAAAAAAATATCTTTACCAATATTTCGAAAGACGATTTAAATATTTTAAAACATTTTGGGAAAATGTTCCCTTTACTTACTTTATACATTACTTACGATATTTGTAAAAAATTATAAATAACCTACCTGTATTTGAGTAACACAGTAAAAATTATTATTTTTTTCGGTTTTTGTTCTATGTTTATTTGAAGTTATTTTATTTAAAGTTGTCTAATTCAACTTTCTGACATTTAGGTATCCGAAAATTACAAAGGATGTTTCACATTTTTAGAACGACTTCGGTGAAGAATTTAAAGAAAGCAAATGTTTTGGCATAAAAATTTCTATTAACACATTATTACTTGAAATGATAAATATTGGTTGCTACTTTTAAATTTATTCTTCTTTCAAAATGTCGCATGTAAAGAAGCTGTGGCTTGAGGGATACCTTTTACCGCTTTTCGAAAAGAAATATTCCTATTCCATAATTCAAAAAAGTTCTGAAATGTATTTTGAATGCTTCTTCATTATCAATCCTTCCTACATTACATTGTTATAAAAAAAATCAGAAAAATTATATATGATTGAATGTAAAGAATTATACATGTCTGTACTTTTTACTACAGCTTGACACTTAAAAGCGTTTCGAGTGTGATAACTTTTGTAGCGTTGTTGAAAAATTACTAGAAACCATCTTCATCACAGATCCTAGATGCTCACAGGTCAATCAGGCCATTTTGTTACACTTGCTAATTTTTAACTGCGAAAACGCGGTTCATATATAAATATACATCCAAATAAAGCGATTATGCTTATTGCAAAAATTCGAAACTGGAAATATTTATCTTTTGACAAGAAGGAGTAAAAGTTAATCAGATCTACACCTTCAAATTTGTGAATAAGATTTATATCACACTGCAAATCAACTAGCTCTATTTGTAGATTCTCTGGTACGTCATTCAAGTCTGGTTTTAATAATAATGAAAATAATTTTAAACAGAACTCCAAATCATTAAATTCCTTAAATCTGCCTTCAGATTCCTGTAGTACTAATGCTATTTTTCTTGCGTATTCTTAAGATTTTTCATTTGGAATAATAAAGCGGGATTTAAGGCATAGAAAATATGCATATTTGTTTTATTTTAGTTGTGTTTTACACATTTCCAACTTAACATTAAAAGCTTTAACAGAAGCGTACATGTCAATGATAAGTTTATCCTTTCCATGCAGATTTTTATTGAGAATATTTCAATGCCAATTAAATCAACGAAAAATGTTAGATGTGTTATCATTATGTAGCTTGTCGATAATTCCTTTTGCTTGTGCGTGCGTCTTTAAAATTTTGATTTCATTTATTAAATAAAAAAATTGCTTTAATACAGCTCCTCGAGCTAACAAGCTAAACTTGTTATAGATAAACAATTTCTCCGTACTCTTTTTCGATTTATTCAAGCTATATAACAAACTCTCGAAGGTTTTCAGCTCTTCCACGCCCAAAGTCTACTGTTTTAATTATCGTTTCCGTAATATCATCCATTTGTAAACTTTTATCATAGCGTGCTTCTTAATGAATAATAATGTTTATAAGCGCAAAACATATACTGAAAATTTTCTTAATTTTACTGCTACTTCTTTTTTTAATTTTTACCCATCACAGAAGATGCACCATCACTTGTAAATCCAGCCATTTTACCCCATTTTCATTTATCTATTACAATATTTATTTCAGAAAAAATATTCTGCGCAACAGAGTTTTCTTTCATAGGCATTATTTCCAGTTATTCCTCAACAATTTCAAATTCATCAGTAACACCTTGTGCGAAAACGTAAGCTGTGCGATATCTGTGATGTCTCATGAGCTGCTATGAGAATGCTAAGAAATCTGTAACTTTTGCTTTTCATAGCAAATCACTAGCGATTTCGTTAATGTTTCATTACTGCGGTGGCTGATTTCTTCCCTCAGTTTACCTTCCAAAATTTCAATTTTTTTTCTTTATGGTTCATTTTATAAAGGAGACATGGGTTTCATTCTTTTGGAACGGACATTTTCTTATTGCAAATGAAACATACAATTTTACTCCGCATACCACCACAGAAGTACGTAATTTACCATTTATCTTGAAAACACGTTATTTTGCCTTTTGTTAAAGACATGTATTACAGTGTAATCACTCAATTAAAATCATAATTAAAATTTTTCTCACAACTTTAATTCAACGAAATGAATTTTCACATGAAAGCAACACTCACACGTTTTGCACAATTTGAAATGACTGGAGTTAATGTAATGTAGACCAAACGACGAGCACAAATAACAGGTTTTATAAACCGTGCGTTAGTTTGCTTCCATCTATTTAGTAATATGAATTGTGTACCTGTACATCCAGTTATTTTAAATTAACATTTCCTGAGATTTTATAATTGATGTTCTTTTTGTCTCTTAGCTTTTTTTGAGGGTCTGTCAGACAGCTGTTATATATGTGTTGCATATGTAGTTTTGTGCTGCGTGCCAACGCTAGCTTCAAGCTCAGTTGGTATGTAATGACTGCTGAAAATGACTCTGACTGCCGTATCGAAGGACTCGGGTTAGAATCCCGGAAAAGGCATGGATGTAAGTTGTCTATGCCTCCACCTATTAAGTGTCTCTCTAATAAAGCGATCACCGCTTCCGGCCTTAGCAGTGGCCAACTCCTATAATGGCTAGTGCCAACCATTAGGGAAAAAAATTTGCTAGTGCTTTTCAATTTTCTCAATAAACACACAACATAATGCAATTCACTGGCCAATCAATTTATGATATATCGAAATCTGTCAAGAACTGTATTGCGTGTATTGGCGATCAGCATAAAACTGCTTTGGGGGCCGCATGCACGCGGGTCGCCAGCTTGAGACCACTGGTTAAAGGTATTAATAAAGCGTTCTTTAATTTCTCTAATTTCACGTCTTTTATAAAAAATATTAATAAAACATACCCGAAAATGCAACATTTTAATAAAAAAAAACTGTTTATGGATTTAGTAAGGTAGCATTTATTTATTTTAATTATTTATCAATGGAATCTCACCATTCTTTGATTAACTTTTCCTGGAAGAAAGGATTCGAAAATTCATTACCGGCAGGTAGCTGTTGGTGTCACACTTTCTGCCCGATGGATCATTAATGCGCATGCGTTCGACCGAAAGGGAGTTTACCAGTTCTCTTATGTAGGCCAGCGTGTTTCTTAGTTCTCTTTTTCAAGAAAAAAGTAAACAAAGCAAAGTAAATGGCGAGTGGCGCTTAACGGTGACTGTGTTGGAATCAGAACTAAACTCGACTCCGCGCAGTTCGAACGTGAGCGTGCTCCACTTATTCTACTGTTTTCAATTGTATGTACGGAACAGGAATAGCATGAGGTCGCTACGGAACGCCGCTCAACAGGTAAGTGCCCGGCGGGCCAATTTTGAAAAATCACTTCGAGAATTTTTCTCTGTTATTATTCAAATATTTTGTTTACATTCTGAACACGAAGACTGTTCCAAGAAAGTATAATTGTGATTAGCCAAGCTCCAGGGCCATGCTGGCTCTCGGGATGTAGTCCTGAGCATACGTGAGAGAGTATTCATTCAAAAGTAAACAGTTAAGCCCTTTCTTTATGACTGAGTTTATGAAAAACAAATTGATCGAATAAGAATTTTTTAAAATTTATTGTAGAATTCCTTTTAGAGGGTTCCAATTTACTTGGAAAATTGTGGAATATCAGGGAATGACAGAAAAAATATACACTTTTTAAAAAGTCAGGGAAAACCAAAACTTTTTTTCAAAAAGTCAAGGAAGACTACAAATAATTCAGATCAATCTCCTAATATTAAAAGTTCATGTCTTAAAAATAACAACCAACAAACAAAAGTTATCGCTTTTAAACATAAAGTAAATGAGGAGTTATTGTAACCTTTATTGTTCTTCATAATGAAGTAACTGCAACAGAATGTGTACTTGATTTTATAAAATAGATAAAATGATAATATCAGTTTGCGATACTTCACAATATATATTCAGTTTGAAAGAGATGCTAGAAGCTTATTGCACCGCATGAAGAAAATAAAGAAATGAAAGTAAAGCGCTCAGATACTGCTAAAAATTATTATTACAAAAGAAGCACAATTGAAATAAGAAATATTTAAAGAAAGAAATGTTGGAGTATTGTATTGACTTGTGAAACCAAGATTTTGATTTTTAATTTTAGCTTTTTTTTTCTCTTTGCTAATGTATTTTTTATTCCTCACATTTTTGCAAAAATACGAAGTGTAACTCAGCAGTTACAATATTTTGTAATTATACGTTATAATAAGTAACTGTACTAATTAAAAACTTTTTCAAGCTTATATAATTATTAGCTGTTTAAGTTTTTTTAACGCATTGTAAGAATAATATTTAATGCGAATTATATAAACTTCATAAATTTTATTCGCGGAGTAAATGTTTTTTTCCTACATTTGATATTTCTTTTTAAGAATACTACTTGCTTTTTGAATGGCTTAGGTAATATTTACTACATAAAGATTTCTTTTATTTGGTTCGCAGTGATAAATAAGATAACTTATGCTTTTATAATGCAATTAGTTGTTCCAGTACCTTTTCACAGAAATGAGTAAAATTATTCAGTTAATAATATTTAATTTATACGTTAATTATCCATTAAAGTAATGGTTTTAAACGGACATATCTTCAAGATTTTTTTCTGCTGATGAGATCTGCATTGTCAGCTTTTTTCAGAAAAGAAAACTCTTCTGTTAATCATAGTTGCGAAACTTTCGAGCTTGCGCTTCGGTTATACTTGGTATTTGGCTAGGTGTGGCTCTTATATATGTCTTTCGCATTATTGTAGCTCGAAATAGATGCGTTCTTCGTTAGCTGTTTTTTTTTTTTTTTTTTTTTTTTTTTTTTTTTTTTTTTTCTGTCTTAATTTAAAATGATAAACTCAAACAAGTTCAAATAAAAGGTCATAATGCTATAACTATTGAAATGAACCTAAGAGTGTAGGAATATATTGATAATATAGAATTTGTAAATTAGATGTGCCACATAGCAAACTTAATGTGTTACTAATATTATGAAAAAGTATCCCGATGCTATTCAAAATGTGAGCAGATATGATAACAATAATAGTAACTGCCATTTTAACTAAATAGAAATTGATGCTTTATAAATATATAGGTACAGTTGTAGAGATATTAGGTTAATTTTTGGAAGCAGGGAAGATGAAAAAAGAGCAATCGCCTTCGCCGGGAATCGAACCACAGACCTCTGGAATACCGATCCAGCGTGCAGAACAACTACGCCACGAAGGCACGCTAGGAAGGCGGCAGATATACCTGATACAATAAATATATTAGGTTGGGCCGAAAGTTATCTTGTAAAAATATACCTTTCGTTTGCGTATATCACTAAAAGTTTTGAAAAATAGCGAAACTTTTCTATTTTTCGTCAATTTTGTTTATTTACTAAACTCACTACCATCGAATGCAGTTGTTCCTAATGAGAATTTTGGGGCATGAGAAACATGAAAGAAGTTTAAAACTTGTGACCTCAAGTTATTTATTGTTTGCGCAAAAGGCTCATAGACACAAAGTTTTTGGTAAAAATAGCAATATTTCGTTATTTCTAATATTTTTTTAATAAATAAACGGTGAATATATTTATCATTTTTAATTTTGTTATACAAAACAGCGCACCTTAAAGTTATTTTTGGGGAAAATTATGCATGATACATTTTGATAAGAGTCGTCTTAATCAAGCCGTCTGTCTCTTGCGATCAGCGCCACACTCATTTTTAGATGCTTTGGTCACATGTTTGACACACCGTTCTACAGCTTGAGTGTCACAAGGAAAGCCCCGGGAATCTGGTGCAGCACTGTGACAGTCTTTAACAGATTTTTGATGTCCTCGTCAGTAACATTCCTTAATAGTGAAGGAGGAGAGATATTGCAACTGCCCCACCAAACCATACTGACTTTGTCTGTTGCTTCAAAGTTGACCTTTGGCGTGGTGAAGTTTCAGGGCGTGGATAGTCTTTCCCCTGGAAAGTACTAAATCTTTCAACAATCGGCGCAGCACTACTTCCCTGATATGTCTCCTTTCATCGCTAATAATTGCAAGAATCAGATTTTCGAGATGAGCAAAGAAAACAATCTACTGAGTTACTGGGTTGATAAACTTGCTATAAATTGTGAGTTAGAAAACGTGATGTTTTGGTGCCTTCAGAAACTATCTTTGGAACGTCTGTGAAATTTTTGCTAGTTTTGAATTTTAAACCAAAGAGACGTACACCAATTTAAAATAGAATGTACCAACTGCCTAATTTCATCAGTATGTTTTTCTAAGCTCCTAAGAAGTCTACGAATTCGATTTGCTTTCATCTTGAGTGGGAAAGCGATCCAGGGACATGAGATGCTAAATCTTCTAAAACTGTGCCTGACTTTATAGCAGCAGAAAATTCAAGTAAGCATAACTCATCCTTTCTTAGCAGTTTTCTCTCAACTTAAAGAATGGAGAATTCAATATATTCAAAGCGAACCAGTGACAGCTTTTCACATCCAGCGAGTTTTTCTTTGAAGGATTTGCGTCATGTGCTAAGACCATTCAAGCAATAAAATATGTGATGGAACTGCAACTCAGTGGAGTGAAGGAGAAGCCTACTGCAGTGGTATCCTAACGTGCAGTTAGGTCTGGTGGATAACATCAGTTTTAAAACCGGTATTAATTACAGTTTAATCGCTCCTTATCACATCAAATCAAACGAATTCTCAGATACTGTCAAATAGGAAATTGTGCTAGAATAAATAGGAAATTGTGTATATTTAGCATATCCTGCTGAGGAAGAAACAGGGTTGATATATATTCTGATCGTGGTCCTTGTATGAGAGAATAATGGCCCTCTTTCCCAGTTCTTCGAAAATGCTTTAAATTTTGTTTTATAAACCATTGCGTCATTTTTTTCCTTCCATCAGAGTATAGACTTATATTATTACGAGTTTTTTTATTATTATTTTATTTTAGCCAAAGACATGAGAAGTGTCTGAATTATCACATGTCTAGTTATATAATAGTTACAATATACATAATATTTACAGTTATGCAGTATAGTTGAATAATATTTGAGGATTATAATCATCATTTAAAAAGATATGTAGTAAAAATTACAAAGTATTGCTATGCTATTTTTACAGAAAAAAAATTGTGTTTTCTGAGATTTTTTGCGTAAACAATACATAATTTGAAATTACCACTTTTTAACTTTTTTCGTGTTCCTCCTGCCCTCACATTCAGATTAAAACCTAGAGTGTCTCGATAGCAGACCTAGAACGTTAGGTAGCTTAGAAACTATAAAAAGTTGATGAAAACATCAAAATTTCACCATCTTTTAAAACTTTTGAGTGCGATGCTCACACGAAAGATATAATTTGATTTGAAAATTTTTTTTAGTTTTGCTTAGCTAAGCCATAGGCAACATTTTCGAGGTATGGAGATAGAAAAATTTAAGCAAATTTTTTTTTCTGCCCATCTTAATATATATGTCCTTTTTTACCCTGATTTACAATCCGTAATTTTTTTTTCTTTTAACCTGTCGTTAGACCTTGAGGTCCATTTTCACACAGGCAGAACGGACGTTTGATGAATATCTTGAGTAAAAAAAGAAGCGAAATGTGATTTAATGCGTAGCAGCAATTAATTTGTAGGTATTATATATGTCAAATATAATAGCTGAAAACTTTTTTACCTAAATTTGCGCATAAAATTCATTACCCCTCGAAGAAGATGCATTGTTCCCATTTAATATTTAAACATTGTCCTGGTAAAATAAAATTTTTAGATGCTATCATGCCTTGGAAACCTACGGATCAGATGAATGGATAAAATTCAGGAACAGCCTACCGCAAGTGTTACCTTTACGTGAAACATAAAACCTTTAATTTATCTTCCACGCGCTGTCGCACATAACCGAGTATTGTCATTTGAAAACGTATGAGATCTTAATTCTTCATCCAAATTCATACAGTCTGTTATTAATTAACTAATTGAGTAATTTAGAATCAAAAACTGAGCTTAATAATTTAAACTTTTATTTTAATTTTTAGTCCAGATCTGATTAAAAATACATAGAGACTTGAAATATGTGCATAGTTTACATTTGGTCTCTACATTGTTCTATCTGGTAAGATGTCCATAAAGATAATTTGAAATAAAAGCCTCTAGAATCAGGAAATAACAAGTGTCTATCATTCTCGTACATCTTGTCATTTGGTAAAATAGAAAATATAGATACACGCTTTTGCTACTAGATATAGTTTTCTCTATTTTAGTAGTGGAGATGATGAATAATAGATTTAGTGTTCTGTCTTGAACTCAGAATGTTTTAAGAATTCTATCGCAGCAGAAAG